ATCAGGCATCAGATTATTCAGATTGTTGATATTCGGACAATAATAAAAATATAAGAAAATCATATCAATCTGAAATGATGATTTTTTTTATGATGAATCAAATGTGAAGAAAAAATGAAATTTTTATTTTTAAAATTAATAATTCGAATACGCATCTTGAATTTGGATACGCAGTTAGATAGAAAATAATTAAGAAAAAGTTTACAGAAAAAGAATTAATTTTTGGTTGAGCCTTCCATATTGAATTACATAAGAATGAATGATTGAATGAATAAATTACCAATTTTGACATTAAAAATAAGATTCAAAATAATTTTTATGATAAAATCAAAGAAAATATTCCAATTTTTGTAATAAAGGATATATAATATTCGCGTGTCCACTTTGTTAGAGAAGAATATTAATAAAAAAATTTAAATTAGTAAAGTAAAATCACATTGAGAAATGTAAAAAATACTGAATATTCAATTTAAAAATTTAGAGAATAATAGTTAAAAATATTACTCGTATTAGCAAATTATAATCTAAAAAACAATACGAATGCTAAAAGTGCAAAAAAAAATCAAATAAAAGATTTTCCTATTTTTTATTTCTTTAAGCTAATAAAAGACATTGAAATAAATACTATAATTTTGAGTTAAAAACATTAGCCATTTATGCTTTACGAAATTTCGGATATATTTACAGAATATAAAATTTAAAATCATTATTAATTGTGATGCATAACATTGACTTTGAAGAAAAAAGAATTAAATTCGTGAATTACCTGATCAATTAGATAAGATTTTTTAGAATTAATAAATTATGATTATATTATAAAACTATAAAGTGAATGAAGCTCTAATGTATAAATATATTAATCTAAATGATTATGATATTGGAAACAATCACAATCACAAATTGAAATGAAATTCGCTAATAATATAAATCAAAATCCGATTCATTATTGAAATAGATTGAAATGAATTAAGACATTAAGAAAACAAAATATATCAGCTACAAAATAATTTATAAAAAGAAAATAGATTATTATTTTGTGTAATAATATTAAATGAAAAGAAATATCATTTTTAATGTCATGTTATGATAAGATGAGACGTTTAACGAAGAAGAAAACATTAATGTGATTTTGTTGAATTATTGGTTGATGAATGATTAAAAAAATTCATTCCATTATTTAAAGTTATACTTTCATCAGATAAAAAAGAAAGCTACTTGCATTTTTTTCTAAAGGATATATATTATTTATAAATTCATGTGAACTTTATTAATCTTATTAAATATAAAAATCAACTAACTAAACAATATGTATTAATGATTGTTCACGAAATTTGTAAAATTATAATCAAGGCAACTGATAAAAATCGAATATTAAATACTAATTATCTTCAGTTATAAACCAGATATATTGATGTTTGATCGAGGATTGTATTTTATGTCAAGTGAATTTTAAAAATTTTTAAAATTAAAATATTAAAATTGTAACGAAATCTCCACAACTTAATGATCTAAACTTTCAACAAAAAATAAAAAGAACAAATCATTCCGATATTAATAAAATTGAGTAACAAAAAACAGTAAATATTGATATAAAATTATTGATATAGAATTAAAATAATACTATAAATAAAATAAATCTACGAGTCAAATATCAAATATATCATTTGAAATAAAAAGGAATACTAATGATTATCTTGAGAATACAATTGGAAGATAAATTATATAATTTCAAATTCTTACGTGAGAAAGTATCGGATCATATTATAAAAACAGGAATAATAAGAGATATATCGACAAAAAAAGATATAAATTAAAAAAATATGAAAAGGTAATTTAATTAATGATAAAGAATTTTAAAAGTACATTTAAAATAGCAAAATGTTCCAATTTAGGAATCTATATATCCAATCAAATCCAAAAAAATTAAGAAATATATATCGGAAGAGATTACAAAATTTGAAACGTGATATGCACCTCTTAACCAAATGAGTTGAAATTTTGAAGAGAAAAGAAAAAAGAGGAAAAAGTTTTAAATATAAAATTTTAGCTTCGAATTTTCTAAGATATTATAATATAAAAAATTTTTTCGCTACAATACATTGAATTGGTAATACAGGCATCAGGATAATAGATTAGATACAATCGTTTATCTACTGTTTTTATAAACACGCATAAACATATAATATGCAGCATTCAAGCGTATAACGATTAGGCCGATCAAAAACTTATTCCTTATAAACAATAATGAATTCAAATCTAATATCAAGCTTATCTGAAAGAATTAAAAAATCTTGAGCGATCGAAGTTACAATGAATATTAGCATCAATTTGATATCTATCGTTATAATTTCAATCGTTGCAATCGTAGTCGCTTAAGAATTATTTTTTATTTTATTTTTGCATTTCGTGGATCTGAACACTGATGCGTGTAATGACTCTGCATGTATAAGAATTTAATATATTGTAAAAGTTTTTTATTAATATTTCTACATTATTATCACATCATTAATTCATACGAAAGATCAGTATAGAACTATACTTTGCAGAATTTCTATGTATATAGACAGCGAACTTTCTCATGTAGTTCTTCTAAATTGTACAGATTAAGTGATGCTACTGTGTTTTCTAAATGGAAGATCAGACGATTGAAGTAGACATTGAAATGTCAGAAAGAAACTGAAATATTTCATTATGTCTCTAAATGTACACTGCCGATCCAGAAATGGACATGTCGACCAAAATCTATTGGAATAAAATTATAGACTTTCGATCTTAAGAGTATTACTCAGTCGTTAGACAACGGAAAACATGGAAGCCACATCGGTTTTTACAAAGTGGATAATCTATCCCTATTCCCTATCACTAATCAATACCAATGTCAACGTGACAAATTTATTGATGCCGAGGACTTGCAATTCCGGATCATACATTATATCCATAAAAAGATTGATTCTATGTGACATCAACGAATCATTCTCATATATTGTCTATATCATTCATACTCTATACCTTTAAACCTATTTCGAAGCTAATCCCCGAGAATTTATTCCATATAGCAAAACAATTTATATAAATTTTTTTTATATTTCTTATAATTTGCGAATTAACAAATCGAAAAATGAATTTTCAACAGTTAAAAATTTATTTCCTTAAAATAATTTTGGGCAGTAAAATAAATGCATAATACATAAGCACTACATATCCTCAAAGTTTCATAACTTTTTGAATTTTCAGATAAGCAATCTCTTCTTGGAAAATGATGACTCGTTCAAAATGCTTTCGTATAACAAGCAAATGAACGATAAGAAATCTCATCTGCAAGCCTTCTTTCTTTGTCTCTTTTTTGCTTTTTTTTTTATTTTATTAAGATCATCGTCACTTCTTTTTTTCATAGACTATATCTTGAATCTGAATCAAACAATTAATATAATCTTATTCCGAGAACATGTAAAATCAAAATCCAAATATGGGAATATTATCAAGGCTCTGAGACTATTGCAGAGATATTTGATGTCCTGGCTAACTCTATCTTGACGAATTAGTTGGTAGTTGGTTTTCAAGCTCGAAGAGAGGTTACATGAGAATAATTATGCGCTCGAGAACTTAGAAATCGAGATTCTCTATTACGAATAGGGTCTATGATCTCAGTCTTCATTACAAGTTTATATAAGCTCACAAGTCCTGCTAAATGAAAAGAAGAAGCTCTTTTCAGATTTAACTCTCCTGATGGCGGAGTGAAAGTAATTCTCACCGTTTTGACTCGGTAATCTTTCTCATCTAATTAGGATTTCTCCTTTTATGAACCCTAATGAAAACACAACGGATGAGATTCAATGTTGTATGCAATATATAATTTCACCCAATACGATCTGGATGTGGTTCTGATCCAAGATATGACAATGTTACACGTTAATATTCCCGAACTACTGCTTCTTTGTTTACATTCTCGATTGATTCTATTGATAATTCACATTATCAATCGGAATACGATGAGAACGGCAATTAGAGTATCTTCATCAAGATGTTTCAGCACTAATCTTTTTATACGCCACATTCCTCCTTCCTTTTTCTTAGAGGCAATAGGGAAGATACAAAAAACTTATAAAAAAATCTGAAATTCTTCTTGAAACTGATCCTTGGAACCGATTCCGATTCCGTAACCAGAGGTCTAAATGCGCTGCTCGGTTCATGATAATAGAGTTCTTTGTGTTTGTTGTGAAGAAGCCTGATATTGTGGATTTATTATTAATATATTCCACGAGCAATACTGAACGGAATAATGAGAAATCATATCTCGTAATTTTTTATATTGCTCGAAAGATGCGAAACTTCAATATATATCTCGATTACAACGAAACGGTTTTGTTCATTATACATCTCCACTCTAAGCCATATGGCAGATTATTCGGTCGTATATATAACAGCTACGAAGTTTTTCCTATTTCTTATCTAAAAGATGTTTAGACACTATATGGTCCATGCCCAACCTGATTTCGTGTGCCAGATTTTGAATAAATAAATACAAAATCCATGATTGATTTAAAGGATTAGGATATAGATTATAGGATAGGATAAGATTATCCACATATCCACACAATAAAAAGTTTTTTTCTTGTTTCTAATTCTTAGAAATAAGGAAGAATCGGTTATATTTACAATGTGTAATTTTTTATCTTGTATGAATCTTGTAGAATATTATCACATCTCGACATTTGCTTTAACTATAAAGATCGTTTTTCTGTATGTTATATTACTTCGCTATATTCTTCTAGTTATAGATTTCCTCTTGTTAATTTTCTCTATTAAAATGTTGTTTTAATATCGAACTTATTATTAATTTCAATTTTTCTAAAGCCACTATATTTACCATTATCATATAATAATATTGAATAGAGCTATTGGAAAGTTTTCTGATAATCGATCTCCTTGCTAACAATATATATTCTCCTGTCTAATTTCATAACAATTAGCTGATCTATTTTGATTTTGTTTTATCCTTAAATATCCATAGATTATCTATAAACATTTAGTAAATGTTTAATTAATTCTTATTTAATGATGAAATTTTTTCATTTATGATTTTTTTCTATTTATCATCTTTTGACGATACTTTTATGATACTTTTATATGACTTTGGAATAAAAATTTCGATAATATTAGTGTGATAAAAAAATTCTAATTTTCTTTTTCTGATTTAATTTTTGAATATTTAGCATATTTGTCAAATTTTTAATTTTTCTTCTAAAAGTTTTTTCTGATTTGATTATATTTGATATCGATCAATCTGAATTCTTTTTTTGACAAAAAAATTTTCTTAAGAAGAAAATTCAAAAAATTATGAAACTTTAGAGATATAACGAAAACATATGTATATAAAATTTTTTTGTATCATCTAAATTTACTTTAAAAGGATGATATTAATTCTTGAAAGTCTGATTATTTTCTGATTTTGTATATAATCATATAGTTAAAAATTAATTACTTTTAATTAAAAATATCATTTGATAAAAAAATTTATTAATTGTATATATAATTGAAAAAATATTAAAAAATATTATGAATGAAAATATTAATAATTTATTCTAAAATATATCTTTTTATATGAAATTATAATTATTGATTTAAGAGTGTTAAAAAAAAGACTTATAATATTCGATAAAAGGAATATCTAATCACAGATTTTTATTTTTTTAATCATTTTCTAAAATGATAATGAAAATAAAAATCAATTTTTATTATTTATAAACTTGATATCGTGAATGAATTTTTTAGTTGAATTTAAAGACAAAATTGATTTAAAAGATAATTAAAAGATAATAAAAGATCATTAGCTCAGGTTATTGATGTAAAATTATTTCTAACATTAACAGAGATATTTTATAAACGCAAACAAAGAAAATGCAATTGGCGAAGTAATACATTAAATGTATATTTTTTATTTTCATATTCGAATAACCAGATATTATTAATACGATTTGAGAAATCAGTTTTCCACATTCAATGTTAGATGAACATTGAAAATTTGTACTTCGTATGTGTTTCATAAGTAAGATATATATACAAGAGCAAAAAAGTCCGATTAACGAATATTATAATCCGAAATTTATTAAAATGAAATTAATAATAATACGAACAAAACATTTAAAATAGGCAATAAAAGATGCAGAAGATCAAAAAAATTATCACTTGCATGGAGAAAACCATACATAACATAAATACATAATAAAGAAAATTACACAATACGAAGAAAATGATATATTTTATACGATCACGCAAATCATTTAAAATATAAAATTTGTCGAAAAATAAAAAATATTTTAATAGAAATTAACATTTTAATAATAATAAAAAGAAAAAAAATATAGATTTAATATTTTATTAATATATCCTCTATCGCGATTTGATTTTTGTAAGAAAAAAAATATATACATATAACAGTATACAATACAAAAATAGTAATAATATTAATATTATTATATATAAAATAAAAACAAAACTAAAAAAACTTGACCTATCAAAAAATCATGTAGATCAAAAATTTCTCCAAAAATTTTCTTCATCCAATTGTGCTCTAGAATATATAAATCTATAGAAATTCCTCGAATGATTGTCATGTCTCCTTACTTTTTGCATAAATAAGAAATTTATGCATAAATAAGTGACTTCATTCTCGGGAATATATTTAAGCTAAATATAAAAAAAAAGAGGAAAGAAAAAGATTCTCTTGTAATAAAATAATAATTATTTACATACTCATTTATCTCTTCTGCATACATTCATTTGTGCTTCTTCATCCGATTTATAAAGCAATCCAAAATAGAACATGCGAAATTCAATTATACGTTAAATTAGTTCAAAATCCAAAAAAGTACAATTCAAGATTGCTTATACTAACAGATATTATATTAAAACAATAATTCCAGCATTCCAGCGCATGAATAAAATAACTAATCGAATTTGACGGATTAATTTGTGATATATACGATAACGCAAAGATTTTGAAATAATCTCAACTAAAACATAATATAAATATGTTTTAAATTATAATAGGAAACCATATACAATATAAATTAGAACAAATATTAGATTAATTTTACTATATACAATTTAATTATAATAGACTTACTTAAAAATTTAAGTTTATCACAATTAAAAAACATAAAATTTTTTTAAATTATGAAAAATTATAAAAAATCCATAGAAAGTATTAGTAAAAGTTTAACACAAGTGCAAATGATAAAAAAATATCTGATTTGATAATCACAAATTATTACTACGGATTTATCATATCATTTATAATATCGACAATATCTTTAATTATTGTTATTATATAAATACATTATGTAAAAAAACAAAATTCACTGGAAAATATTGAAATAAAAGAAATTCCGCACAAAAGAAAGGCAATTCGAATATGTGATTGTGAAAAGATAGAAATGTTTATAAAATTACATTATAATTATTTATAACTTATTTTATATTAAAAATTTTATATCATACATCATATTCATATTTTTATATCATATTTTATATTATATATATCATTAAATTTACATATATGAAAAGAAATATACTGTAATTTTTAAACAAATATGCTAAGATTTTAGTTAATAGTTTTAATCGTGTCAAAGAAAGAAGAATAATATGGTCTGGAATCAATAAATGAATGTTATGTTTGTGATAACAAACAAATATGCAAGATATTTTAAATTATAAGAAAGATAATAAAAATTCTAAATAACGAATTGAGAGTAATATATAATAGAATTTCTTCTCGAAGATTTTTAACTTGCAAAACTTAACAGACGTAGTTCAAGATAGACAGTTTTTCGAAATAGACAATCGCAGAACAATTTTTCTATATTACATTTCAAAAAATTGTTTCGAATTACTTTCAGCGATCTTTTTTTAATCCCTCGCCTATTAGGTGAAATTTTGCAAGTTAAAAATCAAGTTAAAAAGAAAATTTAGAGTAAAACATAAAGTTTTTTGTTAAAATTACTTGAACTCAATCATTGCCCTCGAGCATGAGCTTTCTTTTAAATTTTACAAATCGTGTACATATATAAAAACAATATAAAAACAAAATTAATATTTATAAAAACTGGTTTCATAATCTTCCAATATAAATTATTTTTGTAATCAGTTTTCTGATGAACACAGACGCTACTCTATCACTAAAAGTGATTTAATTCCTCTGCAGAATTTCCATAAAAGGACATCATGTGACACGATGTAGCGTTTGACTTTAATGAAAGCATATCATGATATGCCTTTACCTAATAGTTGTAATGGAAATAATGTGACATATTCATATTCTTGTCCAATGGAAATTTGTTGCAAAAAAATTGAATCACTTTTAATGATAAAAGGAGATAACATACTACGTTCATCTTGTAATTGTGCTATCATATAATGCTGATTCTCGGAGAATTCATAATACATTTCTTCAGAAACAACTATCAATGGATAAATTTTTTTCACGAATTTTATATCTTGTAGATAAAAAAATATTCTGCGCAAAGATGATTATTTTAAAGAAATTATTGAAATCAATAAAATGAAGATAAAAAGGAAAAAAATTTAATGAAAAACGTCTTCCAATTTGACCTGGATATGGCCAACTGATATGCTCGTGAGCTGTATGCGATTCCATCACACTCCTATGAACTAGAAAGAGATTGGAAGAAATATATTATTGTATATTTATATTCGCATTCATGTGACAAAGCACAGAAGAGAAACATGGAATGATTAATCATAGGAATACCGATAGTGGGACTCGTGAAACGAGAAAGAAATTGTCCAGTTCTGAATAATGGATTTTTGGAGGAATTTAATGGTCAAATAAGCAAAAATTTATTATATCAATTGCCCAAGTATCAATATCAGTATCTAAGTTTACTATTATTTGCCATTATTAAAACATGAATAAGACCAAACATGACATTAAATCTCATTTTTGAGTCTTAAAATTAAATAAAAAAGGACAAACACCTAGTTAATCACAAAATGAATTTCGTTGATCCGCACCATAGTACTCATATACAGAATATAGAACATATTTCGAGAGAAAATACTAATGAATTCAGAAACAACACTATATTAGTTATATAGCAGAATTTTTATTTCGTCATCGATATAACTTTAAATTAAATTATAACTTTAACCAAAGAAATTTGCATTTTCGTGAAATAATAATAGCATTGCCAGTCGCTTCGCAAATTAGAAAATTTATCTTTAACCAATACGAAATGTATTCAGAAAGTATCCGATCTTTGTTTATATCTTTATTCTTTAATTATTATGTTTGTATATATTAAAGTACGATCTTACAAACAAAGCTAGATTTCTGTCTTCATTCGAATTCCATACGTGGTAAACATCAATTTTTAGTGTCGCATTTTATAATTACCATGTATTGTTAACCAAAGAATTTGCATTTTGCTGAAAATTTGATCATTTTTATACCGAAACAATTAATATGATTCGTAAAGTATATAGTAATGATTCTAATGAGTAATATGCAAATTAAGAAATGATTTAGATGGTTTAAGAATAGTCGATCCGATACGATGTCAGAAAATGTCGAACATGTTGAAGTTGTGATCAATGAAAATTGTCGTTTGACAACACTTCAGAATGATATTGCGATTCCAAAAATTATTGTTTATTTTTGAAATTTTAATTCAAGATTTGGAAATGAATCGCGTGATTGCAAAATTTGTTCCACGGCTACTTGAATGCAAAAATACAAAGATTATCAAATGCTGAGTAAATTTCATAATCCTAAAATAATGAAAAAGATTATTACTGACGACGAAACATGGATTTATGATTATGATCTCAAAACAAAATTTCAATTTTTGATTTGGAAAACACATAATGAGGCGCGATTAAAAAATATATATTAGTATCCGAGTAATATGAAGACAATAAATCATCACTTATTATAACAATTCATTATTCATACAATAATATATGATCACATAAAATGAAATTTCTTAAGCAAAATTTTTTAATGAAAATTTTAA